TCACATTCATTATTAATTTCTTCGCGATTTTGATCTAAATTAGTTCTATTTTCCAATGTTTTAATTCTATTTTTTATTGTTGAAAATATGAACTTTAAAGGATAACCATTACTTAGAAATGTGTGAATTAATTCAGAAATGTTTTTTTCATGAAATTTAGGATGGGATAAAAATAGAATTCTAGAATTGGGCAATCAAATTGCCCAATAATTACTCCCCTTTTATGTGCTAACGGATGATTCGAGAAATAGTTTAAATATCTCCCAGAATTGGTAGGTTTTTTATAAATATCGAAGATGATATTTCCTTCTTGTCTCATTAATTTAACATCTAGGAAATTTATGCCGTTTTTATCGCCAAAGTCCACAGTAAATTTAAGCCTTTCATGATATAAGTTAAACAATTCTAGAACTCCTTCAACCTTTTCTTTATATACAGCTAACACAATATCATCCATATAACGAAAATAAAAAGATGAAATAATATTATTTGTGGTAATAATTTCTTGTTCAAAATCTTGTAAAACTATGTTCGCCAGTATGGGGGACAAAGGAGAACCCATTGGCATGCCAAAAATCTGTTTAAATATTTTATTATCAAAACTAAAAAATGTGGAATTAATTATAATCATAATTGCTTTGATAAACTCATGTAAAGGAATCGAAGTCTTATTCTCAATAAAATTCCATCTACGTTCAATGCTTTTTGATACTAATTCAGTCGGAATATTTGTGTACATGGAGACCACGTCAAATGATATAATACTAAAATTTTTATCAATTGCTTTACCATTGAGTTTATTTACTAAATCTAAGCTGTTTTTAACATAACCAAAATTTTTTATATAATATTATTGTTGTCAATGATTTCTTTTAAGAAGGTCGCCAGTGGATAAAAGCACTGTTAATACAACTGACAATTGATCTTAGAGAGTGACCTTCTTTGTGAATTTTTGGCAATCCATAAGATCTCGGAAATTCGCCCAAAACATACAATTTTTTGTATAAATTTGAATCAATGTACCCCTTATTTTTCCAATTTTTTAATAAATTACCAATATCCACAGTTATTTTCTTAGTAGGATCTTTTTTTATTGAATCGTATGTGGTCTGATCATTAAGCTCATACATTTTTTCTTTGTAGCTATCTCGACTCATAATTACAGTGGTATTGCCTTTATCCGCTCTAGTAATTAAAATATCCGGATTCTATATAAAAAAGTATAATAGTTGCTCAAGAGCTATAATATTGCTATATTTTTTAGGATCATTTTCCCCCTGATCAATATGAATAAAGCAGAAAAGATGGACTACGAAAACTCAAGCCTAATGCTGTTCCATTCATATTTAGAATTAGTCCATCTTCAAACACAAACAATCCTGTTTCTCAAGAGTCACAGACCGTATTTGCTGCAACATCATAGATCTCTAAGAATAAGTAAAATTATATTATAAAATATTGATGTTGTTTATTATTATGTATACGAATGTCATATGTACTAAATTTTTACAGTCAATGATCCATCTTCAAACTGACAATTTTATTTCTCAAGAGTCATAGACCATACTCGATGCAACATTCACACATATCTTAACAATAGATAAAATAATATTATAAAATATTAATATTGATAAAATTACTAATTTTCAATTAATTTAATATCTGAACTTTTCTAGTTTCATTTAATATTTTATTTCATTATTTTAAATGGTCTTATAAGATTATTAGGTTAGAACATGATCAGGGTTAGAATATGATCTTCATATCAGAACATGTAATTGAAACGATTGAAAAACTACTTCAAAAATCGCAATTATAACTGAAAAAAATTAAAAGGCTTGAAACAGAAAAAAGGAAATTGGAACTTGCCACTAAATTACTTTTTAATGATGATCAATTAAAATATCTGACTCGTGAAAAGATCAGCATGGAATGTATGTACAATACAAACAGCTCTTAAAGTAAGAAATACTTGTGGAAATGTAGGCTATTTCACATTAAGGGATTTGAGATTTTCCTTTCCATGTGAACATATTCTTCAGAAAAAGTTATTAAAGAATATTAAAATGCGGCCTAGTGTTGGATTTCATAGATGCTTTAGAAAGAAAAGTAAGTATTTTTTATGTTTATTTTTTTTATGTGCAAATATTTGACGTTGGATAAGTGTATTATGCATTATTACATTATAACAAATATATATTAGTATATTTTTTGTAGATTGCATATATGAATAAACATGAACGTGAGGCAGTATTAATGATTGACAAGATGACGCTCACGCCATCACTCACTTTTGATATATCTTCTGATATTGTTGTTAGACGACCAACAATACCAAGTGCAATGGGTGAAATGGACGAATTGGCCACTCATGCATTAGTGTTCATGCTAGGCGGTTTATCAAGTCGTTGGAAACAAACTGTTGCTTATCATTTTATGTCCAACTCCTTCTGTCCTACCAAAATAAAAGCATTTTTGCTCAATTTAATAAAATTATGTGAATCTAAGCAACTCTGTATTAATATTGTGATTATGGATATGGGAGGACAAAATCAAGCGCTACTCAGGAATTGTGGAATCGTTTATGAACAATATTCACAAGTTGTCAATTACTGTTCTCATCCCTGTGATAATGAACGAAAGCTCTTTTTTATGTACGATTCACCGTATCTTCTTAAAAATCTACGCAATTTTCTGAGTAATGGTCAAAATATAGAATTGCCTGAAGACATATTAATTCGCGAGAAGCTCCCATGCAATTTTGTATCCACGAAGTATATTGAGGAATTACTAAATGTAGATATGCCGCAAGATTTGAAGTTAACGCCACATTTGCGACAAGCAGCTTTGCAGCCATTACATTACGACAAGATGAAAGTTGGATTGACAACTTCTTGACTGGCAACAGCAGTTTTCAGTCAAGAAGTTGCTGCTGCATTGAAATATCTTCAACAAAAAAAAAATAAAACGGAATGCCTTGACGACAGCTTAGTTTTTAAAAACAATACATTGGTTTCGATTGATATCATCACGTTCAAAGAAAACAGCATTGAGTTTTTTGATAAAAAAAAATATGAAGAAGCAACCGAATTTATGAAAGTATGTTTATCTATGTTCTTAACAATGAAAATTGGGACATCGTGGAAATTTGTACAAACGAGCTTTATTTTGACAACTACAGCATTGCAATTGCAAGAAAAAAAAAATTCTACCAATGCACAAAAAAATTTAAATATGTTCTTTTGAGCAGATTTTCTCAAGATGCATTAGAAAATTTGTTTTCTATGATTAGACGAAAGAATCTAGTTTTCCAACTGCAAAAAAATTTAAGACTGCACTGAGAACAATAATATGCTGTACAATTTTTTAAACCAAATCGAAGTGGTAATTGTGAAATTGATGATTCTGATTTCCTCTTTCAGTATATAAAAGCACAAGAAGGATCATCCACTGCAACAGGTATAATTTTCAATTTATTAGTAATAACAATATTTTATAATAACATTATTTTACTTATTATAAATGTACATTTTTAACATTTTTTAATATTTTCAGATTCAGTATTGCAATATAAAAGCAGTTTGCACAAGGATAATATTATCTTTGATTTTAAATTCCTTGAAGATAAGATGAATTATATTCAAATAATATAACATAATTATTATGCTCACATGCTCATTGTCTTATATTCTTTATAATTTATTTTATGTTTCATTTCAGAAAACTCAACATTAGAAAACAATTCTGCAGGATATTTCTGATGACATTAATACAGGATCTGGAATCATTTCCTTCAAATTTTTCTGGTATATAACTTATTGAAAATAAAATAAAATAAACAAAATTTAACAATTTTTACAATGTTTTTTTATATAAAGATTAAATATATCATTTTTTAATAAAAAATGAAAGTATTTCGGAAATTTAGATATTTGAAGTTGACTATGATAGATAAAGATCATCCGGTTCATTACGTTTCGATAAATCGCAACAATTCAGTTAAGAGTTTTATTTTCAATAATCTACATGATTAAAGATCTAGAGTTTTGGATTAAACGAGTCTCTTCCTTATAAAGTCTTTATATTATCTTATTTATTTTTTAAGATTTAACCAAAAAAAGTAACGATTCTCTTAAAATTCTTATGCAATGGTTATCAAAAATGTAATTTAATGCTAATAGTGTTTCATTTCGTTCATATATGTAATGTTATCTAATAAAGATGTACGCTTTATTTGTAGAAGAAGAATAAGCTCAAGCTTTATATAAATTTTGTGGAGGAATTGTCCGAAAAGTTATAAAAAAAATATCGCTTACGATGTGAAACATACAAATCAGCAATGCTGGAATCAATGATAATATTAAAAATATGCAGATTTTAACTGATTGAAGTAATTACTCTTACGCAAGCAATTCAAGATTAAAATATTGTAGCAAGTTGGTTTACAATTTCTTATGTGCTGCAGACTTAATAATTCGTGAGCGCGAAAAAGATATTCTCTCAGAAGAAAGTTCTATGTCCGATATATTGAAAACATTGCGTCCACTTTGTCGGAAATATAAATTCCCATCATGTCATTCAGTTAGACTTAAAATCTTAAAAACATACCTTTTTTCGCGCATTCATTTTATTGTGCGAAAATTTAATATTAAAAGACTTAAAACAGGTTCAGTAAAATGCGGCAGTAAAAGCATTGGCATGAGAAATGCCAATGTAAAAAAGTTACGCTATTAAAACTATAAAAATAAAATAAACACATAATGTATTTTATGTTTGTTTTTATTTAAATGAATGTTTATGTGTTAAATGTAAACATATTTAATATGTTTTTTAATATGTTTTTAATATACTTTATTTAATATGTTATTTTTCAATACAATTTATAATTAAAGTTAACTTTCGTGATGAATGTTATTTTAATTCTTCCTTCCTATCACATACAGTTTATGTACAATTGAATATATTTCATTATTAATTGCAAGAAATCTATATATTATGATTATATATCTATAAATATCTATATATTCCAAAGTTGACTGCCTATAACCGAAAATCTATCGAATCTATCGAATCTAAGAATTTTTTCAGAATTTTTTATCAACTTTTTAGTACTGCATTTTCTTTTTTTTTTATCAACATGAGAAAATACGGTATTAACAAATTCTGAAAAAATTTTGAAAAAATTCTCAGAACTTTATGAGAAGAAAATAAATGATTTTTGTCTCTTGCAGTTTTTCTGTAAAGTTGATAGTATTTGAGTAAAAAATTAGAGACCAATATTTGGCAATTTGTAGTAGTAATTTCTAGTAATTTCTAGTAATTAATATCTTGTTAACTATTGCGAAAATTGCAAAATGGTAAAGGACTTTTCGACTCAGTTTAGTCCTATCTACCTGCCCATGAAATATTTGGCGATTATTTCCAGACACTCTGTCTACACTAACGTGTAGAAAACAAAAATTCTACATTGTAGAATTAGCCTCAAACTTCAAAATTCGCAAATGAAAGTATATGAAATTATTAAAAAATGGGATGTTATTGCATATCATCTTTCTTATTTATTACTGTTTATTATTTCTCTAATGTTTAGGCCGTAAAATTATGTAGCGCTCAGTGAGTGATGGAACGACTTAAAATTACGCTCCACCACTCACTGAGCGCTACATAACCTTACGGGCTAAACACGGCATTAGAGAAATAATAAACAGTAATAAATAAGTAAGAAAGATGATATTAAAGTTTATCTATAGTAGACAAAGTTATTTTACGTTACGAATTATAATAAATAAACATATTAATAATAGATAAATCCCTTTTTTGCTCAGTGAGTGGTCGTCGTTTCTGGATGCACCCATTGATACATACGGTTTGACTCTTCCAATATATATATTCTAAGAGGATAAATGATGCATCAAGCGTTTGAAACACACTCTATATCCTGTTCCTGTTTTACATCTAATGATTGAAATAGAATCCACAATAGCGCTACTGTTATCGCTTCTTCATATCGCTTCCTGAACCGCAAACTAAGTCTACATCCACATTCACATTATCGAAATGAATAGATTCAAATCTTTGAATGTGGATTCAGACTCGGTTCGCAGCTCGATGTTCGGCTCGATAATTTAGACATATCCCTAGCTGAATTTCTTGCACAATTTATCTTTTACTTTTATCTCTCCAACGTGAAAAGAAAATGAGGAAAAACGAATTGTGTACGATGTTCAGCTAAAAAGAATAGAAGTCTGCATCAATGACACAAACTTTCAATATAAAATTTCAACAGAATATATTGCCGGATACTAATGATATCCGACTATTTGATCGAATAGTAAAAAAGTGCCGGGTAATACCGGAAGTCGAATTTCATATATCCGGTGCGTCTCTAGTTTTTTTACTTTTAATCGCTCAAATTTCTACAGTGACGCGAATTTTTAGAAGATCGATGGTTTTTAATAATATGTCGTCGATGTAGATATTATCACCGACGAAATATTATTAAAGATCAACATCCTTACGAGAGTTCGCGTGTGATATTGAAATGATTAAGAGTTAAAACTGATAATATGGTACTCATTTTATGATGTA